ATATATATATATATATATATATATGTGTGTGTGTGTGTGTGTGTTGTGTACATAATTCAGGGGCTGGGTGTGGCATAGTGGTTAGTATACTGGGGAATTAGGTGCATTATGAGTGTGTTGGTAAAGTCCTATGTTTTTTTTTTATTAGAGTAGACCACAAAATGGTGGTGGTGGGTGCTGTTAATTTACTATGTCCCCTCTGGTTTGTCAGTTCAAAATTGGGAATGACTAATAAAGGAGGCCTTTGAGTTCTTGTGAGTTTCTGAAACAACAATTCATAATCTTTATATAAAATAAAACTAAACAAATCAACAGAATTTTAATTTATCTCGTCAATCAGCTATTACTCAGGACCACTTGAAATTGAATCAGTATGTTTATGTGCATACTATATATGTGTGAAACAAAGCACAATTAATAATAATAATAATGTTTCACACAACTTAAATCCTATGCTAGAACCTTCACCCATACTTTATATGTGAAACAAAGCACGATTAATAATAATAATGTTTCACACAACTTAGATCCTATGCTAGAACCTTCACCCATATTTACATCCATTATAGTTCATGTATATTCATTTTGTAGTGTAACCTGTTTTACATAGTTTGTAAAATTTTTTAATTTTTAAGTTATTTATTGCAATTACTCCAAGGTCCGTTTGGTGAAAAAAATACGTTATGCATATATGTGTGTGTGTGTGTATATATATTAAAATGTACAAAATAAAATTGAAAATTTGTTTCCAAAGGTCAACGTCTAAAGTGTTTTGTCAGGTGGACAAAATATTGTGTTGACATTTTTTTTATATTTTTTTACTGTAGGTTTTTACTCAGCCTATTCTTTCAGCCAACCAGTTGCCTGCTAATGTAATTCAGATGGCACCACAGGTAGCAGCTCAGCTTCAACAACAGCAACTTGTACAACAACAACTAACAGTACAGGAAGAAAAGCAGACCTCTCCACCAGTTACTAATCAGCCAATAGCGTTAGTGTCCAAGTCACATGTAGGTGTATTGTGATGCAAATATGTATATTATTGAATATGGTTTGTGTAAACAGTGGAAATGTTAAAAGTTGAGCAACTTGTGCTTTAGTTTTAAACTAGCAAAGACCCGCAAAACATTTCCGGCCAAATTAGTATCTTTATCATAACAGTACGTCTTTAAATATAACATTTATAGCACAATACAAACGAATTGTAATTGTAGACAACGAAATGTGTAAATCCACTTGTATATTGGTCGTACTTTAATAAACTTTAACTTATGTTAGGCGTAAGTTTGATAGAGATAAATTAACACTGTAACCAGAGTACGTTTTATTTTTACTTTAGTTAGGACTAAACTCTACTGTACTTAATACTATCGATAAATAAACTTATAATGTTATTTTACGACCTAATGTCAAATCTTTTTTAAAAAGTTTTTAAT